CCTCAGACTACATATCTTCCATCCTACATACCAGTGGTAGTAGGGATCCTCTGGAAAAAGAAGAGGTTAGTCATTTCCTTGAAACACTGCTGCTGTTGTTCAGAAGTAACGCTCCTGCCAGGCCATGACTGGCAGCAACAAGGTCTGAGTTCCAGTTGAAGGGAGTTGCTCCAAAAGTGGTGTCTTGAGGCCACACCTGGACAACTGGAAAAATTATACTGAACTCTACTATTTCAAAAGCAGAGGCATAAGTAAGAGGCAGACACGAATCAAACAGTTAACAAAGATTTGGAATTTGGGGGTTTTTTTGTAAAACAGAATAAAAATCTGACCAGGTAGATAAACAGTGATAGTAACTGACTGTTACAGTTATTCTTTAACTATAACAGTTCATAGTCTTTTTCCTCTAAGGAAGCAATTTCCAGGGTAGACTTTTTCCCATCATCTAAAATAAGTGAAAGCTAAGATTTGTTAGGCGATAAACTGCCCTGTAAAGCAATGGTTTCGTAGGTGCTTGGCTCCCTGATGGTTGTGCCTCTGGCTCCTCCATCTTCGTGGGCCCTGGCAGCTCTGCCAAAATCACCTTCACTCTTGGTTGGCCGGTCCCAATCTGGCACAGCCACCTGCATGACTCCTCAGGCTGCAGGATTTCTACAGTGCTTTAATGCTGAGAACTACCCACAGCCAGCAGGCTGAACTGAACCGAATGGGGAGCTGGACATGGATCTTCAAGGAGGCAGGAAAATGTTTTTTTTTCTGCCTCTTATGTGTATCCAGTCTGCAGGACAAAATCTTGTGAATCCCCTGGTCAAGCTGGCTAAGTATAACCACTAATCTTGCTCACAGAGTTTGACATTAGCTGTTGCCTTAGGCTGGGACAGCCATTTGCCCAGACACATTTCACAAAGTTTCAAAAAAAATTAGAAAACTATAAATATCACTGTTATAGTTGCAAACTTTTCCCCAGTTTGTAAACTCCATTTCTCAGCAATGCCTCTCAAGTGTAGTAACACGATGTACAAAAGAAATATTTAGGGCACGTCTATTGGGGCTTTCTGTTTACCTCCCCCTCACCCCACTGGATGGCAAAGGATGTCCTCTGCTGGGGTTCAGAGATGTCTAGGGGGGAGGTTGTTCTTTGATTTTTGTGGCCAGTCGTCAGGTTCAGGACTCAAAGGGACTGAGTCAAAGGTCATTCTGCTGCCTAGGTGTTTTTCCTTTTGTTTTTTTTAACATAAGGATGCCTGAGAATATAAGAGACAAAAATACAAGTCCTTCACAAGTGGCTGAAATCCTTATCCCACTGATGGTGTGTTCAACCTGATAGCTGCAGCTCATCAGAGCAGCCATGGGCTCAGGAACTCAAAACCTTTGGTCTTATTTTATACCTCTCTCTCTTCAAAATTGGAAGGTCTGATAACAAATCTACCCAGGGCGCCTTTTCAGCTTCCTGCTGCAGCTTTGCTTTTATGATGGTGTTAGCAGGATCTTTCATCATCTGCCTCCCCAGAGCATCTCCTTTCATGTCCACATGTTTTACTAGCATTTGAAGTAAAAATAAAAGGGTGCTTGGTTTTGCTTAAAGCATAGCAGGGATTACAAAGACAGATATCATGATTAAAATAAAGCCAGCCAGTTCTCTTTAGTGACAGGAGGTAGTGACACCCTACTCACTTCGCCACCTTCGGAAAGGAGTTGACCCCTCCTCCCACAGCTTCATATTGGGACTATGAGCCTCACATTTCCAGGGAGCAGGGGCAGAGGCCTTCCAGTGGAGGGGGGCTGGATACAAACATTTAAAAGCCTAATTTTGCAATAAGACCTCAGGGAATTTTTTTTATTTTGTTCTGAGTTTGTTTTCCTGCCAATTGCTCACTTCCCTTTCTCAATCATTAGTCTTTTCCAAGATTTAATCCAATAATTGAAATGTTATTAAGACTTTCATTGATTATTTTCCTGATACAGATTGTCACAAGACTGTTGAAGAAATCATGCTCACTAAAATTTCTTTCCCTGAGTTTTCCACAGCCTGTTTTCTGATTATACTGTTGGATGACTGCAGAACCACTGATTTAATTTTGAGCTTCTATGATAAAATTTAAACTAGAGATGAGTTCCTATCCATTTTATTGGCTCATCTGCCAGATTCTGTTTCCCTTGAAAAAACTTCAATAAGGGATAAGAGTCCTGAATCCTGGAATTCCACTACAAGTTGACCTCAAATATCTTTACTTTGCCAATGATGAATCACACATTCTCACTTGAGTCCACTAACACAGATATTCAAATCCTCACGTGGGTATTCAAGAATCAAAGAGTAGTTTGGGTTGAAAGGGACCTTTAAAGATCATCTATAGTCCAACCCATCTGGCACCGCGAGGGACACCTTTCACTGGACCAGGTTACTCAAAGCCCCATCCAATCCAACCTTGAACATTTCCAGTGATGAGGCCTCCACAACTTCTCTGGACAATCTGTTCCAGTCTCTCACCACCCTCATGCTGAGTAGGGAAGTAGAGAACTTCTTCCTTATGTCCAATCTAAATCTACTCCCTTGTAGTTAAAACTGCTAGCCCCTTGTGTTATCACTACATGGCCCTGATAAAAGTCTGTCCACATCTTTCTTATAAGCTCCCTTCAAGTATTGAAAGGCTGCAGTAACATCTTCCAGGAGCTTTCACTTCTCCAGGTTGAACATCCCAAATTTTCTCAGACTTTTTTTCATAATGGAGGTGTTGCAGCCTTCTGACCACTTTTGTTGCCTTCCTCTGGACCCACTCCAACAGGTCCATGGCTGTCTTGTGGTGAGGGCCCAGAGCTGGTTGCCATTCTTCAAGTGTGATCTCAGGAAAAGTCACAGGCATCCGGAGTGCCCATGTAAGTCAGTATGAAAAAAAAAAAACAAACACACACACAAAACCAAAAAAAAAACAAAAAAGAGAAACCCACCCCAAAGAAAACAAAACTAGAATCATAACATTATATATGTATTTTACAGTCTATGTTACATCTATCTGAAAATTCCAGGTTTAGACATGTTTAGTGTTCAATCATCAGGAAGGAATGAGGTATTCATAAAGTAGTAGAGTAACAAATGCAGTCTTCAAGATCTGTATTAGACAGCAGTCTGGAAGTACAATTGTAATGTGTAACTGCATGGTACTTAATAATTTTCAAGGGAATCACCTTAAAATTGAAAACATGGTAGCAAAGTACTGTGGATTTTCAGTGTCACTCTTGCACACATCATTGTTTTTCAAGGGGTTAAAAGCACCACATCTCAAATTGCACAAAGATTCTCCTGTGCTATGACATTAAAATCTCAGAGAAGAGGAAGGTTATACCTACACTGAAGTGTTTGGACAATGCTCTCAGACACATGATGTGATTTTTGGAGTGTTCCAGTCCAGAGCCAGAAGTTTGACTCGATGATCCTTGTCGGTCCCTTCCAACTCAGGATATTATATGACTCTATAAACAACTGAGGTAGTACGGCACATAAAATGCAAAGTACATATGAACAATTAAAATGTCACTCTCTGCATTTTAATTTTCCCTTGTAAGGTGCAGACAGGTTCCAAAACACATTTTGAGTGAAAGTTTGTGAAGATTGCCATGTGTGTTTTGGTTCAGTACTGATAACTAAACTTAATGGGGTTTTTGAGACAGACTTAAAACACGGGCCAGTGTTGTGAAAGCACCTCCATAGTTATTGCAAGTGTTAGTCTAATGTACTTTAGGAGGATTTACACCTTTATTTGTCATCTTCTAGTAAAAGAAAAAACTGTATGTAAATCTGTGGGTTCCTTTAATATTGCATTGTCTTATGAATAAGTTTAAAACCAATTTATTCCTTTAAATCTCTATGGACACATGCCCATTTACTGAAGAGTTTGTGGTCTTTATCCTAGACCCTTCATGGCCACTTAGGCCTTTCTGTGATAGATACTTGCATTGTAAGAAAAGATGGGTTTCCGTGGGTTTATTGTTTTCCTCTCTTGTCATCCATCTCTGCTGAAGAAGGTGGAGAAAAGGTGTGGCTCTGGCTCACCTCCCACTCTGTTGGAAAGATAAACTATGCCAACAGGCTGGACAGCAAGTGCTGAGGCAGACACCAGCTGCTGCCAAGAGAGCTCTTGCCATGGGGCCAGAGGAGGAACCAAGCACAGCCCTTTGCATCACAGTTTGTTTTCTGGGCTGTCCCTGAAGCGACACAGCACTGTATCACCCTGTGTTGCAAATTCACTGGAAGCTTTGTAATCTGGTTATCCTAGTCTGCAACCATGAACTGCAGGAAAGTAGTTCTCTTTATTTATAAATTAGATGTAATCCACACTTATTTTTCCAGAAGACCTCTAAGGAGCTAATTTTGTATTCTTAATACCCTGAACTGGAGGTAATTTTCATGCTGTACATTTTCTGGATACCTGCAGATGACTCACTTGAAGAAAGGGAGTGTTGTTTCATTTGAATTATGTAATCATTTATACCCCTCCCCTTGACTGAGATTGCAGGGTGAGGAAAGCTGACATGCCAGGAGAAGACAGAGAAATAAAAAGGTTCCAAAGGTTCATCAACCACATCATGTCAGGTACAGGATGTTTAAAGCACATGGCAGACTTTTTACCTTCACGTTGTCTTTTAGGGGCCAGTAAACAGCAGATTCCTGTGAAGATTCATGTAGCACCAGTACAACTAGCTAGAGGTAGGCTTAAGAGGTGATTAACTTCACATTCAAAAGAAAGAGGGGAGCAAATGAGAGAAGAAAAGTTGTGTAGAACCACCAGTCATTACTGCCCATGCTTGCAAGTGATGCAAAAGATTTAGAAAAAAACAGTTGGAATCAGTAGAAAATCTCTCAATATCAGTTGGCTTTGGTTCAGCACAGTGATGTTGTCCAGATAATCCATATTTCCTCCACCCCAGACAGTTTCTCCAATCCCTTCCTTGATAATTCAAGGAGAGTTTTTTGGTTTCTAACTATGTGTTGCTTACAGGAGCAGGGGGAGGAAGGTGACCACAACCCTTTCTGAAGAGAGAAGTGCTACTCTGTCTTGTCCCTGCACAACCATGTCTGCCCAATGACACCGTGGTGAAACAATTGCGTACTTGTGTACTTCATTTTGGACCAAGACCTTCTGGATTTGTACAATCAGACATCTTTGGAGGATCTCCTTCATCTTCCTTTGCCATAACTAGCTAACCTCTATCTTCTGGAAAAAGAAGTAAGCAGCAGGATTGGCCTCAAGGTATGTTAGCAAAAAGAAAAGTATTACTGTCTTTTAACTTATTGATATCAAAGTGTAAAGCCTACAAAATGTACGAAAGGAGAGTTAATAAGCCTTTGCTGGCCTCAGAGGGTAGGTGATGGGAAAGCCACCCTTCACACCACTGATTATATCATGACATGATGCAGGCTAGAAAAAATTTATTGTATTTGATGTCAATCCAAATATGTTCAGAAAGAATTCGTCAAGGTAAGGAGGTAAGTTATGTTCTTATTTACTCCCTCATATTTTTGACTTAGGTCTGAATTATATATAAGGCTTTATGTATGTCAGATATCATCTGCCATCTTCAGATGCTTTCCTGATAATAGTATCCATTGAAGTTCTATCCTTCAGGGCTATGAGTCTCATATTAATACCATTTAGTGATTTCAGCAGGTTCATGAGGTCTGCACTTGGGGAGGAAATGAGTAAAAGGTAGGCCTTTGGGAGTGCATGTAGTAATTTATCAGGAAGCAGCTATTCAAGTCCCTGTTCAGTTCATGGAGAATTCTAGAGATGATATATCTCAAAGGGTCTTTTTTTCCCTGAAGAATTAAGGAATATAAGTTGAATCTAATATTGGTGACGTTCCATATGCATATACATCTTTGTGCACTTTGAGTTGTTGGTAAACTAAGGCAATCACAAATTAGGTAACTCAACAGAAATAGTAGCAGCACCGAGCCTGATACTTTTGCTTTTCTTTGCATAAGTAGATGTGTATTTGTCTTTATGCATAGCATGTTAATTTTGATTTAAACACAGAACCAAATCCTGTTTTCATTTGTGTTGCTATCAATCAGGATAAACTGAGAGGTGCATCAGCTGATGCAAGTGTGAGATGAGAATTATGTAATCAATTATGAAATTCTACAAAATCTCTGTTGTAATTTATCCATCCTGAAATTTGAAAATGAAACCTGGATATACCACTACCTCCTAACCATGGAAACTTTCTAAATTTCAGTGAAATATTGCACTGAAAAAAAAAAAAAAAACCAAAACCAAACCACCATTTAAAAGTGGTAGAAGTTTAACCCAGCCTGTGAGGTAAAACATAGTTGTGGACAATGTTAATAAAGTTTATCTCATACAGTGTTAAATATTTACAGAGAGGACTGTCAGTGCATATAATTCTGATTATAGCATGACTATATTATGTATATCAAAATAGAAATAGCCTCCTTGATATAGAAACCCTTACACTGAATGTTCAATACAGACATAGCTCACTTGAGAACTGCTTTCTAAGGGCATTTGGCACTAACTTTAAGAATGATTCCAGGAGTTAGTAGCTGAAGCCCCAGTGTTTCAAAGGTAGATGGTGCTCCTCACTGCCATCGCTTTCAGCTCCAACTGTGCCTGTTAATTGGAGAGCTGGGTACAATGTCTGGGAGAGGTGCAGGCTGGTTGCAGTGGTGGAGACGTGATGTTGCATATGCAGTTTGTTGCACAAGGAACACCGGGATCGTGCCACATCTGCTGCTTACATAGGAGCTTTCTGTTTTATTGCGGTGCTAAACCATGCATGGAGCGTCCCTTCTGCCATCTTCCTGTCAGTCCTGCCCAACTTTACAAAAGCCTGGCCTGTCTGTACTCCACTAACTGGAAAACGACCTGCCAAAGTGCTGTACTATGACTTCACGCCACTTCTAAATGAAGTGTTTTCAGAGCTGTGGAAAGTTATTTTCACAGAAGCCTCATTAAGTTTCCCTTTCCGATAGTTCTGCTGGGCTGAGTGGCATAAGATCTCTACTTCTCTTTCACAAATATTCTGAAAGAGAGGGTAATTCTAAGCATTGTACAACTTACTTTCATTCTTACCACAGAAAGAGGTAAGGATGAAGGGAATTTTAGTGGCACCAGCATCTGTGAGGTGGTGAATTGCATCTCTGAAATGCTGCTTTCACAACCTCAGACTCTCCTTGGCATGGCAAACAAAGAGCAAAAACCTCACAGAGAGGAATGGCTGTAGCTGGGTCACCATGACCAGCAGACCAAGTAGTATTACTCAGCTCAGTACAATGAAGATAAGCTTACACAAATTAGTTAGTGTTTTGGTTCAAATTTGTTTTGTAAGGTAGTCAAGATTTTCCAAAGGCTTTTTTAAGTCATATAATATGACATGGTCTTGAAAACTGATTTCATATTTTCCCCTCTCTGACACTGTTCAGAGAAGTATGTTCTCACTGTTTAGATGAGTTTGAGTCACACCACTCTTCAGTTTTGGAAAACATCTTACATTAGCATCTGGCCTAGGAAGGTTCTCACCACAGCTGAGCCCAAGAACATGAGCTTTGGCCCACTGGGTCTGTCCAGGTAAATATTCTTTCATTAATGTCAGTTCAATTGCAGACTAGGGCTTGAGTTTCAAATACTGAAAAAAGTGCACATAGGAGGAATAGTAGAAAAGGGAGGAAATTGTAGGGCAACTGTCCAAAATATATAGAACAAAATGTTAAGGAAAACAACTGTGGTGAAAAAAAAAGAATAAGCATGTAATTAATATCCAACCTTTAAAACAAAATCCCCAAAGTTCTACGGTTCTTACATTCAAGATTGTGTGACCATATTATAGAGATGTATCAGCTTCAGTCTGGATTATGTAGTTGTCTGCTGTGTCCACTTTTAGACACATTTAAAATAACTTTGAAAAATCTTCCCTTCTATTTTTTTTCTTTTTTTTTTTTTTTTTTTGCTGTGGATAGCAAAGTAACGGAATTTTGTGAGTTTGAGGCTACACAGCTCCAATTGCTCTAATTACACAGCCAGGAATTTTACAATTGTACAGTAAGTCAACTCTCTTACAGGGACTAATGCTTAAATTGCAACTTCTAGATTGCTGAGAATGGGAAAAGGATTTATGTGGTTAAAGATGTGTGTTTGCAATTAACTAAACCTAACCGCACTAACTAGCACAATTTTTTCTTGCTATAAATTAGAGTTTGTTATTTTTGCTTTGGTTTTTAAGCTCAAACCTGGTTTCTGATTTTAAGATGGTCCTCAAACAGTGGAATCACAGGAAAAGATTACATGCTAGACTAGAGAAAAAGCTTGGTTAACTGGTGCATGTTAGCTAATGCTGAGCTAATTTTAACCTCTTTTTGCTACCTTATAAACAAATTCTCTGGTATTACACTCATCTTACTAGATTCCTTACATGTTCAGTTACGCTTATACTATAAACTCAAATTCCTGAAATATTACAGGCCAGTTTTAGCAGAAGAAAAATGCAGCCTTAAAGGTTTGATTCACTACCAGCAGTGAAGGTGAGAAAATATAGGAATAATTTTTAAAGACCGTACAAAAGCATTAATGTGAAATTGTTCTGGTGAATATTTTTAAAGGCCTAAACTATTTTTTGTCAAGGATTTTGTCACCTAAATGTTTACATTTTCTTAGGAAATATGTTAAGGAGGCCCATCTAAACAGAGATGAAGCTATGTAGAAATGAAAGGGTTAAAAGCAGTCTAGGGGTGGGGTTGAACATGCCAGTCTCACAGACATTTTATGAGCTTGGCAAATACTCACACAGCCCCTCTCCAAACTATTGCCCTTTGCCTAAAAAATGAGCATAGCACCACGATTGTGGGGATTACAATAAACACTAGAAATACCCCCTTTGCCCTCCTTTTAAGAGCCAGGCCCAATGCCAAAGAGCCTGGAGAAAGGCAGATTCCCATGTTGTATCGCAGAGCATACTCACCACATTTTACCCAGATTTTCCATCAGCCAAATGGGACTGAAGAACAGGAGAATGGGCAGTCGCTTCTGCTGGTGCTGTGAGTTCGGTAATTAATAGGCTTTCACTCTTTTGCTGTGCTATATAAAAAGAAATGAGCATCATAAGCAAATATTATTTTGTTATTTTGTGTTTTACACCTCTGCTCATGTATATCATGGTAGAGTAAAAGTTACAGCTGAGGCAAGAGAAGTTCTTTCAGGTTCTTGAAATAGCTGGTGCAGCATAAATTGCTAATGATGCAAACAAGAAAAGGTTTGGACGGTTCTGCAGAGGTTTGGTTCCTGTGCAGCCTTTGCATCTATTCTAGGATAGGGAAGAGTTCATTAAGATTTCCGAGGAAAAAAGGGGAGATGAAAAATGACTGAATAAATGATGAACAGAGCTATGAAATCAAGTTCCCATGATTTAACAGATCACCATTCATTCCTGGAGCTATGGTAAGTGACAGTGCACAGTTGCTGAACCAATCCACTTGCAAAATAAAGTATGTAACCTAGCCTATTTATTTTCATAAGGGATCAGATTAAGATCATGTATGTGGCTCATTACCATGGCATGTGGCTCAGATGACTGGGGTAATTACTGAACTGTGGCAACTCAGTCAACTCCTACCCATGGTAGCAGGGAAATTAGAGATCCATGTTTTGCTTCTCCAAATTCATGTTTTTGTTTCTCTACCTACAGCTAGGACAGCCAACTGCCTCCCTTGCCCTTAGGCCATCTGTATATGCAGGGATGGAGAGGAGGGAACAGAAGTCAGCATTCTCAACTCTCTGCTGAGGAGATGGGAATTAAGGGAAGACCTCAGGTTGCCAAAGCAAGAAAACATAAAGTTACGGATGGCTATACTACAATACAGTAGTACTTCCCTGTCTGTTACACACTGGGGTAAAATACACAGAAACAGGTATTTTGCTCATAACATAAAAGCCTTGTTAGACAAACAGGCAGTACAGAAAAGGTGAACACGTCCTTTTCTTTTCTGTTACTGGTAAATTAATCCAATGTTTGAATGTTTCAAAACATTTACAGTCAGCCTGGAATGAGGGTTTCTCCAGATAGCAATGCCATCAGCCACATGTAGCTTTTGACCCAGATCTGCCAAGTCTTGCTGGCTGAGGAAGAAACTCTAACTTTTGGAGCCAAAGAAGCTACTTGCATTTACTCTGTCTGATTACTGAACTGGGCAAGACACTCTCCAATGGGCAGAACATGCCCATCAAGTTCAAGCCTGAAGGGATGGAAGTGTTTGGGGAAAGGAGTGACCATTAAGCAGAACCTGTGGGACCATCACAAAGAGAAATGCAAGTCAGGCAGCATCTCCCGTTCCCATCTCAGTTCCTCACCCAAATCTCTCACCGGCACGTCACTCAGTCTGCTTGCTCCTGTCTCATGGTCCCTGTGTTGGCTGGTAGCCTGACCCGTCTGCCATCTCTGCCATCCTCCCACCATGGCCTGGAAAGCAATGTAACGCAAATGGCTAGCTGGAGAGGAGAGAAACTCCTGAAACATCCGAGAGGCCAGGCTGCCCAACGCCGGGCACGCCGGACAGCGGGCATGTACCGCAGTAATACTAGGCAGGCTCCCCCGCCTCCAGCCTTGTTCTCCTTTCACACAAGCGTTAACAATTGATATTCTGGGGAAACGGTGTGAGGGGGATACTCCTAAAACAGCACACACAGATTTTCAGCGCGGTGCCTGAGTTGCCGCGAAGGTTATGCCGGCGGGCGCCCCGCACCTCCCGGGCTGTGGGTCTGCCTTCCCCATCATGGGCTCGTGCCGCTGGAAGGAAAACCCGGGAGAAGCCTGCATTGCCATGACTGCCCGGTCAGCCACGCCAGCCCCTCTTCTTGATCAAAGTCGCTGGTAGTTTTCAAGTAGTTGTTTGTGCCGCCTCCGAAAGAAGAAAAAAACATCTGTAAGAACAGGGATGACGAGAAACGTGCCGGAGGTGGCAGCGCCAGG